TTTGAAGAGAATGCCTTGGGGTAAATTGTGCCACTGATTATTAAAGTAAAACAGTATATTTTGATCTCAGAAACTGTAATGCTCTATAAAAGCTAGACAAATTCAACACAAAATTACTTATCTAAGGTTTATTTAAAGTTATTTCACAACATCAGAGGCCAATTTTATACAAGTCAATTGCGCCATATGAGCACATCAAAAGTCAGTTTTATTAAACAAGGCCTAGGGTCACATGAACACATGTTCAGAACAAAATGAAACTCAAATGAAGATGACATTAACTGCAATTCTCTTCACAGATCTGGTCCATTTCATAACATCCCACATGGTGATGCTACCCACTGCTCCCCTCTGGCTGTGGGTAGTTTTTTACGCACATCTTCTCTAGGGAAGACTCCGTCATCATTTTCTTTCAAAGTGAAAATGAGCACCAGTGTCGGCACCATCAACCGTCTCAACCAAAGACTTGATCGGCAGGTCCAGATCTTTTATATCCTTTTATAGCCTTGTTTCTTTTCCATCTACCTTGTCCTTTACATGCATCGTTTTAACGTCATCCTGAATACGTTCATCTTCCTCGCCACCTGACGAATGGACTTCCCTTTCTCCACTTCATTCACTCTAAAGGAGTGGAAGCCCTGCTTGTCCTCCTTATTATAAGTCCTTTGCATTATGGTCTATTTCTATTTTTGGTCTGAAATTAAGAATGTCACTGTGAAAAACTGTAAAAATACAACCTACAATTACAATAAAAGAATATGTTTAAAATATTTATAATTTGGGGGAGTTGTGTTGTGCCACTGGCCAAACTTAACCCAGGCCCCTTAGCACAAATCATGCCAACCCCAACATTTTGAAAAAAGAAAAAAAAAAAAAAAAGCATGGCGTATAGACTCATAGTGTAGCTTACCAAAGGACTAGAAAATTTGGGAAATGTTTTCAAACTTGTCTATAACTGTTCAGACAAAAAAACCAAAGAACCTTGATTGTAGAAATTTTACAGTTTTTAAACTTAAATGGGCCTATTTCTCATGCAGTGAGGCTCTCTTCTTTGCAGGATGAGTATAATGGCTGACTCTTCAAAAATGTACTGCCACATGATCAGTTTCTTCTATGGCCCCCTAGAAAAAAGGGGTGGCACAAATCACCCCACTTTCCCCTACTGAGCAGAAGTCTCGAGCCACATCTTATTTCTTCAAGAAGTCAGACTTTCTTGTCATTTTTAAAAGTGCTGTTGAGCAATATTTCTCCAGGCTTTTTGAACGTCTTTCAATGTGTTTCTTTGCACATTTGCTGCTTTTCCACTCTGACCATTTAGGGAGAAATGTTTTTGTTTGTTAAGCCCATTTAACACAACATATGA